GCTATTGACTTGACTGAGCAGGTCTCATTGACGTGCCTCCAAGTGACTTCTGACCTTGCGTTACTCTGGTGAATAACTTCAGATAGCGATAGCAATCGCTAAGATTTTTCTTAAGCTGCTTACAACCTTCTCAACCGTTGTCGAATTTGAGATTCGGACCATCGTCTATTATCCCTTTTTGGTCAATATTGGCCGCTGTTGAATGTCTTCTAATGACCATCGGCGTTATTAATTGTCTTTAATTAAACTCATTAGCTTCCGAATTGAATTGGAAGTTTTGATTTGATCGATTGTTTTGGATTTCTTTGGTCGTAAGTTTTGTGTCTTTTCTTAATGAGTGGTTACTCTGCATATAATGAGGATTTTGTCAATTTCTTTTAGAAGAGTGTATCAGAAATTAACGAATCCAATTACCAAAATTGGTGTTTTTATGACTTTCTACTAAATGAGCCTATTTGAGTTAAAATTGGGCCAAAGTTTTGTTGTAAAAGACGTTAGAGATCGGATCATCTCTTGAATAAAACGTTACCTTCAACTGATAGCAGCAGTACTGAAATTGTTTGCATATGTTCATCAGCGTCTGCAGTGCCGGCTGAAGAAGGGAATTTATCGCATTAAATTTCGGTAGAACGAAATAAGTGCAAGAAAAAGTTTTCTGCACTCAAATGTACACTATCCGCTGCTTATTTGCACCAGTTATTATGCTCATTCTGGCAGTTGAATTATTCCATTACCTGCTTTTCCATTAGTTGCGGCAAAAAGCGCTCGATCTTGGCAAAGCGTTCAATCCAACGCCTACAACAACCTGACAGGTCTACAAAACCGCGAAGTTCCGTATGAGTGGTTGGTGTTAGCCAGGCACTCACTTGCTTTGTGCGGATTTTAGTAAGTGCTATCCCGTCTATCAAGACAGTACATCTCAGACCGTTGACTGGGTGTCGCAACAACAGGCATTTCTTTGGTGCTGGACTGTCTACGAGACGCAGATGTGACTCTGAATCCAATCTCAGTTTGGTGTTGTGCTCTCGAATACCTCTAACGAAGACAGGAATGTCATCCAAGTGTATTGTGAACATTTTGTGAATAATCCAAATCGTGGGGTTTGCATAAGTCGCATCATCTGGAATCCATAAAGCTCGTTTAAGAACGATGAAATCTACATTCTTCTCATCCGTTCCTTCCAATTTAGTCCTAGCCCAGCGAATGACTGTGATCCATGTGGAGAGTCTAACGAATCATTTACGTGGAGTAGGGAGACAGCATCCCCCTGATATACTGCGTTTAGCATCCTGTTGTAGCTTTATCGTCTTGATGTGTGAGGAGGCATTTTACACAAAATTCGGGACGGCTTTAGTGCTGTGGAGGTAAACGTCTCCAGAAATTATTTTCCCTGACAAATCTGGGTGTGTGGTGTGGCTTACAAGGTGGAAAAGACCCGCTGCTATCATATGGTTTTTCGGCCTCGTTCTCATGGTCTTGCTACACGCTTTGATGTATTTGGTCTTCAACGCGAAAATTTTTTTTCTGACGTGATGTTAAATCCAACAGTACTGAGCTTATCCAAATGAAAATAACTCAGCATCCTGGGTGTCAGTAAGAAGAGTAGTTCTCAATTGGCATGCAATCAAGAGA